CATGATGAATTCCAGGGCTATGTAAAGAGACTCTGTCTCAAAAAAACAAAAACAGCTGGGCAGGTGGTGGTGCATTCCTTTAATCCCAGCACTCTGGGGGCAGAGGCAGGCGGATCTCTGTGAGTTCGAGGTCTACAGAGTGAATTCCAGGACAGCCAGGGCTATACAGAGAAATACTGTCTCTAAAAACAAAAACAAACAAACAGACACAGAATTTGGTAGAAGTATCGACATTGCTGAAATGAGTTGTGAAGGTCAAAGGATTTTTCCCATTTTTTGAAACAGAGTCTTGGTATGTAGCCTGGGCAGATCTTGAACTCATGATTCTCTAGTCTCTACATCCAACATGCAGCACCATGTCCTTTCAAACACTTTTTAAAAACACTTGTTTGTTTTAGTGTAACGTATGTGTACACACACACACACACACACACACACACACACACACACACACACGGGACATGGAAACTATGAAGCTCAGAAGTGACTTGCAAGAGTTGGTTCTCAGGGCTGCAAAGACGGCTCCGTGGTTAATGGCAACTGCTGCCCTTGCAGAGGACCTGGGTTCAAGCCCCAGCACTCACATGGCAGCTCACAACCATCCTTAAACTACAGTTTCAGGGATCCTACTCCCTTTTCCGTGTGTGCCTCTGGTGCACACACACACACACAGGCAGGCGAAACACTCACACACGTAAAAATAAAGTAAAAGAGACGTGGTTCTCTCCTTCCACCGTGTGCGTCCCAAGAAACAAACTCGGCTGTCACCCTTGGTGGCAAATACCTTTGCTGGCTAAGCCGTCTCAGTGGCTCTTTTTGTTTGTGTGAGACGAGGTCTCTTGTAGCCCTGCCTGGCTGGCCTCAAACGCTTAATTCTCCTGCTTCAACCTCCCAGGTGCTAGAATTATAAGCTATGGGCTACCACACCCAGTAAAAAGTACACATCTAACAGGAAAAAAAAAAAAAGAGGAGGAAGTGGCAGCATCAGTATCCCGCAGACAGCGGGCAACCGTCTCAGTCAGTATGAGCTGGTGATGGTTCAGTAGCAGGTCAAAGGCCTAGCAGACACCATGCAGGGTCCTGTTCCCAGCACAACCAATAGCAAAACAAAGCACACAAACAAAAACCAGGAAAGCATCTCAGAGAGATCCGTGAGGAACGTTTACAACAAGCACTGTTTTTCTAGATAGTATAATACGTGTGCCGCTGTGCATCATGTAGACCTTTCCAGGGGCTCTGTTGTTACAAGCTCTTGCGGCTCTTGGCAAGGACCAGAGGTTGGTTTCCTGCACCTGCATCTGGCCCAGCTCACAATGGCCTATAACTCTAGCTCCAGGAGACCCCATGGCCTCTTCTGGCCTCTTCAGGCAGCTGCACACACATGGGAATACATACACAGGTATAACACAAAAGTAACATTTTAATTAAAAATCATTTGTGGGGCTAGAGAAATGGCAGAGCGGTGAAGAGCACTGGCTGCTCTTCCAGAGGACCCAGGTTCGATCCCCAGCACCCACATGGCAGCTCACAACTTTCCACATGGAAGCTCACACCTTTCTATAACTCCAGTTCCAGGGGATCCAATACCCTTGCATGGAAATACATGTACGTAGAATATCAATGTATATAAAATAAAAATAAATAAATCATAGTGTGGTATATCGGGTGTGGGTTCACTTGGGTCAGTGGAAAGAAAACCCAGAGGCATTCTAAGGATGAAATTTAGCCTTTCCAGCTGCAGGGGGCTTTTTGATTCTCCAATTTACACCTTTAGCAAGTTCATTTCAGTATCCCAAAACCTCTTATCTAAGCTCCCCAGAGGACCAATGCCAAGTGCAAAATCTCAAGTTTGCATAGGCTTTGCACCTTTAGAAAACTCTCAGAGGAGATACACAGAGAAGGTACCGGGAGACAAAGGTAGCAACCCCAAAAGGCAGAGGAAAGCTCCAGAATCAAACCAGCTGCAGTTCTGCAGGAATTCCCCCAACACCTAGAAAATGAAAAGATGGGAAATCAGCTCTCAAAGGATTCGAGTGCCAGGTACAGTTGTGGAGCCCTAGGTAGAAACCTCAGCACCCCATAAGCCAGCACCCCATAAGCCAGCCTGAGATACTTGAGACTGTCTCAAAAACAACAGGAAAGACTGAAGTCAGGAGTGGTAGTTCAAGTCTTTAGTGCCAGCACTTGGGTGGCCGAGGCAGGAGGATTGTCAAGAGTTCAAGGCCAACCTAGCTAAAAAGTGAAACCCTGTCTCAATAAGCAAACAAATAAATTAAATGACAGACTCCGGTAATCCCCGCACTTGGGAGGTGGAGGCAGGAAGGATCAAGTTCAAGATCACCCTGTGTATAGATCGAGTTCAAGGGCAGTCTGTGCTCCAGGAGACCCTATGTCAGAACATGAAATAAACACAAAAGGTAAGAGAGGGCTTGAAGACGGCTCAGTCGATAAAGTGCTCACCACACAAGTGTGAGGACCTGAGTTCAAATCCCCAGAAGGC